TTTTTTTTTTTTTTTTTTAATCGAACTCCCATCAGGAAGAAGATGCAGACAAGCTGGATGTCTGCGGGCTTACTCCCAGCGAAAGTCGATCTTCCGACACTCTGCGGGTTTTGAAGGATTACCGCGATGACGTACGGAGTTTCGAAGTTGACGAAATACACCAGGGACTGCCGGTTTCGGTGGGAAAAGACGCGGCCGACGTCGGATCAAATCGAGAAAAATTACGGGAGAAAGAGGTTCGTAAATGTGGATGTACAGTGGCTCGCGAAAGTGATTCGAACACTTGTCACGAGAGAACTGTATTACACGCGTTGTGCAAAGTATTTTAAAATTTCGTTAACGTTATTATGGCTGGGACAAAATTTGATATCAGTGTGGCAATGAGAGTACAGAAGTTGGAAAATATTTATCCTAAATATATTTATTTGTTAATAAATAGACTACGGATTTTTATGTATTTTTGATAGAAATAGAATCTAATTTGTCCAAGGACGGAATTAAAGAAGCTAAATAGAAATTCCTCCACTAAATATTGTAACAAATACACCATTTTGGATGTTTCTTATATTTTTGCACTCTCAAACTTTCCACAAATGCGTAAAGATTCGCAGTCCAGTAATGAATCAATATACAATTTGAGTAGCCATTTGAAACTTCAATGAATATTGAAAATCACCTCACTGAATATTAACAATTTAAGTACTTTCATGTAATAAAAATAATTAATAATAATAATAAAAATATACAGATGGTTGGTTGTTTAAGATGAGATATATACCCGTAATTTTTATGTTTTTTCAGAATTGCTTCAAACTTAGACAATATAATCACGACAATCGAGCCTCATTATAAATAACGTCAACAATATTTCAAATGTGCTTCGCACAACCATGCCACTGATATATTCCTATAAAAGGGTGTTCGAACTTTCGCGAGCGGCTGCAAAATAAAGCAAAAAACGGAATATCGGCAACGGGTCGCCGATGAAAAATGCACGCTGTGAATAAAAAGTACCGGCATGCTTAATTATGCCACGGTAACGAATGCTAAACCGCTCGAATCGGATAGCTGATTTTCTAGCTCGGACAGACGGCTGGGAAAACCGTGTCCCTTTAATTTCGCTTCGGGGAAACGAGTTTGCTGTTTGCTCATCGTTCGTTAAACGTTACGATTTTTCAGCGGTGGCAGAGCAAATGGTAATCTTGAAATCGTCCTCCCCTCCCCCGTGTGTTTGCTTTCAGACCGCGAATAAATTAATCGCGGATCAGCGCCTGGTTTTTCTTAGCGCGCTCTTCATAAAGTTTTCCGGCGAATTCGCCGCCCAATGTGTTTACGCGGCCAATTATTTTTGCAACGCGTGCACGAGCGATCCGCGTTAAATCGTCGCTGTATTTTCGGGAAACCTCACTGGGCCGAAATTTTTGAAAGCAGGACAAAAGTGATGTTTGCAAGAGGGATTTCCGAGGCTGAAAATTTTTAGCCCCGTTTCATCGTTCAAACAGAAAAAAATCAAACATGTCTGACGCACGCAGAAAATCCCGACTTTAGTCGGCTGGAAACATTTAAGTGTTAATTTTATTTCTCGACAAAATTTCGTATACCTATACATTGAAATTGAAGTATCGGCAGAGCTTAGATTTTTCTTTTTTCTTTCGTTCGGCAGCAGGTCGACGAACCGAGAAGCGGCGATGAAGTTGAAGTTGACCGTCGTGTTCGCGACTTGCATCAAGCCATTTCCGACTTCCATTTCGTGGACGCGGATACCGTTTACGACAGAGACGACGACGACTCGTCGTTCGTGTATTACGGCGAGGAGGAGAGCGAGAAAACGGCGACGTACGAGGAAATCGACGACTATTTACCCCTCGGGCTCGAAAATATCCTTCAAGGTATTTGCGAGTGTCTGGAGCCAGTTCGCGAGACGGAACGCATCTCGACGCCTCCGCCGCCAGACCCCTTCGACGAGTTTCTAGAAAGAATGAAACAGCAGGTCGAGGAACATCGTCTCGAGATGTGTTTCCGAGTGGATGGAATCGGTCCGACCGTCTCAGCAAATCGCATTACAGCCGTGAATCTGTGGCTGGCAGACTGTGCTCGTCGCCAGGACGGGCTGGTCGGTCCGCGAAATATCCGACACTTTCTTTGTCCGGATCTTGAGGATCGTAATTTTCACGAGAACGCGAATTGACTGAGATCGATAATTTCCACTGCGGGCAATGTGATCGGTCGTGCAAATAATCGGATGCTCGCGATGTGTACATTGTTAATATACGATGTATCGTCGAAACTCTTATCTTAGTAGCGGTAGTAACGTACGTTTGTATGATGCCTCGTGAAAGAATTCGAACTTTTATTTGGAAAGAAATTTTTGATGATTTCCTGAATTATATATAATCTTGTATGGACGATCATCATGCGTACATGAATTTAATGGCTCGCGAAAGTATTTGAACGTTTGTTACAAGAAATTTTGATAATCGTGAATGATACATGACCTGTATGTGTACATAGTTGGATGGTCATAATCAACTTAATGACTCACGAGAGTATTCGAACGTTTGTTACAAGAAATCTTTGAGTATTTGAGGATCGTGGATTGAATATAATCGATATCTTTTTTTAAAGAGGTGTATCTCTTCAACCTAATATATATGTATGTACTTAGTTGGATGATCATAATAAATAATAGATACGTCAGACTGATATCGTTGAAATTCTCGTCCAGGATCGTGACATATAACTCACGAAAGCATTCGATCGCTTGTTATGAAAAATTTTTAACGAATATGAATTGAATACGATTGATAAGAAATGTATTTGTCATTATATGTAGATGGTCATGATATGTTAATCCGATATCATTGAAATTCTTGTTGGGAATTATAAGATACAGTGGGTCACGAAAGTATTTGAACAGGCAGAAGAGAAAGTTTTCATGAATATATAATAAACGTTTGGAGTGATATTGGGCTAATTTAATAATAATAGACATGTAGCACAATTATGTTAGTAAAGTTTGCAACAAATTTGAGAATGTATATAAAAGTAGCAGAATATTAGTAGACAATACGAGTACTGGTCTTAAACACATAATTGATCTCAAACATGGTTTCATTAAATGTTGTAGTTTATTAAATACCGATTCGAGTGTGTAATACAGCAACTGACTGATCAAATATTTTGGTGATCTTCGCGGAATAGTAAATTGTAATTTCAGACTCGCACCGAACTTTACAACAATACGATGTTACCACGATGTTGAAGTTGATGAAGTGTCTAAAAATATTCGAACACTTTCTTGAGCCCGTGATTGAGGTTGATTTTAGAATATCACTTTTAATACAGTCGTAGCGACCGTGTGAAAAGTATTCCCATGCCATTCTGTCGGTTGGATTCGAGCATATTAAATTTCATATCGTTTCGTATAATGATTGTAAAAATGAAATATACAGAACTGAACGGCGAAAAATTGAAAAGCGAAGCTGTATGTAAATACTTGTCGTAGCCGCTGTACGTTAATCGAATATCGATGAGATTCGTGTTTAAAAACGTGACGTATGAAGGAACATGTGTACATCTCTATACGCCATTTGAACCGACGAATAATTCACGTGCCAGAGATCATTAAAATATATACACGGTCGTGTATACGAGTCATACACAGCTGCAGAGTAAAACATCGACCAGCGCGTTTTATTTCGCGCCACACCGAGAGATAATAACCATCGCGCAACGCACGGCAAACGCGGGCTGTTTACCTTTTAACTTGTCGCATAAATTACCGCCAGGGGGGCAGCAGCAGTTGAATTTATTCGCGATTCTGAATTCCTCGCCGTTGGCTCGCCGGCATTCGTCGAAATTCGACGTGTTGATCGTTCGTTTGCGGGCTTGTTTCCCCGCCGTTTCGACGTTTCGTCGGCTCGATTCCGCGTAATTTCCACGATTAGAAAACTGGGTCGTGAAAGGCGCGGAAGGGAGGAGAGGAACGTTTTCTCAAATAAGCCTGAGGAACGGCCAAGTGAGCTCTTGTTCCCCGAACACCGCCGGAAGGAACTTAACCTAAACCCGCTTTTTGCCTCGCTTCTCGACATTTTTCCAAAGAAGAAGAGATCTTTAGGCCTGCGCCTTTCTTTCTTACGTCAATTCGTCTCTCGTTCACGCACGGCAGATCGAGAGTTTAGAGAAGTTGATCCGTTTCCTGAGACGCGACGAGACAGAGGAAATCTTCAGATTTCCTATTTTACGGTTTGGACACACGCGTGTCGCGAATGATTCGTTCACGTTGAAAGGCGCAGGGATTATTTTCATTTGAAATGAACATCGATCAGAATGAAAATTTTTAACTTATAGATAATTCAAACAATTCATCTCTGCAGTGTGGTGATTTAATATTGTAAATTTTATTTTTATTTTTCTTGTCTAAGACGAACGTCCGAACAAGATTTTCCCTTCCTTGATAAATTGAATGGATGACTCGCTATGATGACAAGTCACAACTTTTCCATTGTATAATCCACAGGTGTCGAGATTATTCTCATTTATATTTCATCCGGAACGAATATATAAACTGACTGGTGAACAGAGCGGAGCAAATTTTGACGAATCGAAAAGATGTTCGATGGTGAAAAGTTGAAACTCGTTCGGTAGATAATTCATTCGCAATGAAATATGTAAAGATTTCACTTTCGAACTGAACACGTCTACATTTGATGAATTGAGCGAATGATTCATACATTAGTGGAAGGTCCAAATTTCTCTAGCAGATCTAAAATTTGAAGGTGTGAAACAACGCCAACGAACGTGCCAAGATATAGAAAGAAATATCTGTTATAATATTTAATAGACGAAACGAATTTTCGCTCGCGTTTATTTATTTAATTACGGAATCCTGAAAATACGGAGATGCACGAAACACACTCTGGCAGTCATAAAGAAACAACGACAGAGCGATGAACAAATTTAAAAAGTGCCAATACACGTGTAATCTGACAGATTTGTATCATCCACAAAATCGTATCAAATCAGCGAATACACAATGTATATATCCTTTACAAGAAGCTTATTCATTACAAGCTTATCCTCCACATTTCCATATTTCTCACCACCACCAACAACAACGATAAAAAGACAAAAGCGAACGAACGAAACGACTTATGTTAGAAATGAAAATACAAGGAGACAGATTGCTACCGAACTCGGGATATGTGTCCCGACTTAATCGAGGCTGGTGGCTTCAAATACCGCTTGCATAATTCCGCCTATTATACCAAGTTCTTTCCTTCCCTTTTCTTTTTTCTGTCTCTTTTTCCCTCAACTTCTTTCGTTCTCTCCTCGCTCTTGTCGGAGTTCTTTCTAGCGCAAAGCCCGCGGCACCACCGCCGAAACCAAGAAAGAGAGAGAGAGAAGTTTCTTTCCCGACACGGTCGTGTCTCGAGGTAGCCTCTTTAAATTAGTTCTTCTTGCTCGGAGCGATGCTTTTCCTCGCGCGCGAGACTCTCGAGCCGTTGGTTTTCGCGTGCAACGCGTTAACGCGCGCGGGTCGTTGAACGATTCAACCTTTATTATAGCGCGCGAGCCGTTTCTGAGCCGGTGCATTAACGATCGGGCACGGTAATGTTGGGTTCGCGTGAACGCCCACACGCGGGCGAATTTTTGCCTGTACGAATGTCCGGGCATCGGTGAGAAATTGCGCGCGATTAGGCGTAACGCCGCGGCGCGAGTTGCAGGCGTGTCTGGGCCGGCTGCTACCTCGTATGAATCACTCGCCGTTGAATATCGAACGCGGCCGGCCGAGTCAAGATCAGAGGGCCCTCTCGTTGCAACGCCGAACTTGCACGCCTGGTCTATTGCTTGCGAAATCCTCCGCGGTAAATGAGGAATTTCCTGCCTCGAGCTGGAAATTCGAGCAGCTGTCTCGAATCCTGATTTAACTCCGGACTCACATTGGATTATTGGGCATCGTTAAATTGCCCGATTGCGGAATTTTTCATTTAATTGAAACTAGCCTCTATTCCAGCCCGTGACGTAAAATCTAATCAAATCAAGTGCCTTAAATTTTAGCTGTTCAGATGTTTTTACAGTTAGTCCGTGATCCAACGATGTTGTCTGAGGGTGTTAATCCAACTGTCTCCAATATCTGTGGAATATTTGTGGACGAAAAATACTCAAAGTACATTGCTCCTTGTAATGTCTAATAGTTAAAACAATTTATTTCTCTTTTCTCGATTATCTTGAGAAAAATTCGTTACGTACCGTGTAATGAAGTAAGTCGTGTCCAACAGATCGATCAAGTGCATGTGTGTGTTGATGAAGTTTAAAGAAACGACATCGATCATCCTGATGTAGCAGGAGCTGCGATAATGTTAAGAAATGTTTGCGTAAAAATAAATATCGCGCCCTATCAAAC